GCAAGCACCTAGGAATGTAGACTGCTTCTACAAATATTTGCAAAAGAATGGGTCACTCTCAGGAGCTCAGTGAATTCAAGCGTGGTACCATGATTGGACTTGAACAGGTGGCATCATTTTGTGAAATTTTCTTGCTACTAAATATTCCATGGTCAACTGTTAGTGGTATTATAACAGTGGAAGCAATTGGGAACAACAGCAACTCAGTCAAGAAGTGGTTTGCCACGTAAAATCGCAGAACAGGGACAACGCATGCTGAGGCACACAGTGTGCAGAAGTCACCAACTGTCTGCAGAGTCAATAGCTACAGACCTCCAAACTTTGTGTGGCCTTCAGATTAGCTCAAGAACAATGTAGAGAACCACATGGAATGGGTTTCCATGGCTGAGCAGCTGCATCCAAGCCATGCATTGCCAAGTGCAATGCAAAGCATCGGATGCAGTGGTATAAAGCACATCGCCACTGGACTCTAGAGCAGTGAAGCAGTGTTCTCTGGAGTGACAAATCACGCTTCTCTGTCTGGCAATCTGATGGATGAGTCTGGGTCTGGTGGTTGCCAGGAGAATGGTACTTGCCTGACTGCATTGTGCAGCTGCCCAATGGTTGTTGGAGGCAAGCAAAAAATAAATTAATATCAAAATCGGCTCGTATAAGGGTAGGTGCACTTCACGAAATAGAACAGAAAAACAAAAAAAGTTTACTCTGATTTAATTTACTCTGACAGTAAAGAAAAAACGTTTTTGTGTTTTTTTCTGAAGTGTGTGTAAATATCTGGTTTCAACTGTAACAGTAGTTTGCCACCACTGATCATGTACCCTTAACTTTTACAGTAAACTGGGGTGATGAACCTGCGGTTTTGTGTGAGAATACTGACATGTGTGTGGGGAAAACAGACTGGTCTAATTTATCTGAGGTGGACCTTATGGCATACCTGGCTCAGTTTGACAACTTGCTGGGTAAGATTGAGCTACCAAAAGAGGCAGCTGCCTGTTGTGACACTAATTGCAAAGACCCTCAACATGGGGTTAAGTTGTGCTCTCTGTATGAGAATGTGGTGGAGTCCCTTCTTGCCACATGCAGGTTTCTGTGTAAGACCAAGAGGTATAAAGCCAAACCAGAGTGGAATGAATATGTTGAAGAGCTCCATGCGGAGACAAGACGGGCCTTTAAGGATTGGGTTGAGGCAGGCCGGCAAAAACATGGTCCTCTCTTTGATCATAAGAAACGGACGGACGCTAATTTTAAATATGCCTTACGTTCTATTGAAAGGAATGGAGACACCCTGAGGTCAAATACACTTGTGTGGAAGTTGCAAAATAAATGTGTAAATGATTTCTGGAAGGAAGTAAAAAAAATTTGTAATTCTAAAACACCCTTGCCAGCTAATATTAATGGTGCAAGTGGTTCAGAGAAAATTACCCAGATGTGGCAGAAACATTATTGTGAGCTATTCAACTGTGTTAAAAGTAACCCCTTTGTAGTGGATAACATTGACAAATAATGAAGATGTGATAGTCTCTCCACAAGAGGTCTATGATGCAGTTAAGAGCCTAAAGGTCAATAAGGCATGTGGTATGGAAAATATCTCTGCAGAGCACTTAAAATTTGTGAGTAGGAAACTTGACCCTCTGCTTGCCATCTGTTTTACTGTGGAGATACGTGTAGACAGGCGAGCGGGGAAGCAGGTGAGCAGAGCCGGTGGTACAGGTTATCGGGGTTTATTCGGCGCACAAGGGCAGACATCTACGAACAATCACCAACACTACAATCTGGGGCAAACTGACTGGGACGCGGACTAAATACACAAGACAGGCTGAATTCAACAAGCAACAGGTGAGTACAATCAGGAATTCACACGAGGTAACGAGGAGGGCGTGGCACACACGAGGATCGGACGAGCCGGACGCGCCTCAGGGGAGGCGACGGATGAGACGAGGGACACGGGACCTAAAAAACAAGACCAAAAACATCAACGAGAGACGGGGAACAGAACAGAAACACAGAACAAGCAGAGGAGCAGAAACCAAGACAAAACCTGACAAAGGACGGGGAACGCGGACAGACAGACCAGGAAGGGAGACACAGGGGGAACACTGACAGGCGGAACAAAAGGGCCAGGAGTGAACGAAGGAACGAACCAGAGGGGAACAAGGAGCAGAGACAGGAGGGACAAAGGGACGAGGAGCAGACAAGGGAGGCCAGACAGGAAAGGACGGGGGAGAAAGGGGAGCTCGAGGCATCGGGGGGGAACCCGGAAGCGACCGCCGACCCAGAGCTGGAGGAACCGCAGGTGACCCTGGAGCCCCAGCCAAGGCGCACAAGGGCGAGCCAGGGGGCAGGGCGGGCGGGACCCCGGCCCGACGTCTATGTCCCCTCCCCTTGTGGGACAAAGAAAGGCAGGGACCTCGTCGGGCTCCACCTCTTTGGAGCATAGGCGAAGGAGTCCGTTCCCCACCAGAGTCCTTGGGGTCCAGCAGGTAGATCCCCGAGGGGTCCCACTTGAGCTCCTCCTCGGGGACAGAGAGTGCAGGGAAAGGCTGGTCCAGGGCTGACTCTTCGTCGGCTGCAGTGGGCGGAGCCGCGGGCGTGACGTCGGCTGCAGCGGGCAGTGCCACGGGGCAGAGCGGCAGCAGCAGCGGGTGGTGCCGCGGGCAGAGGCGGTGCCGGGACCTCGGGCGGAGCTGCAGGCGGAGGCGGGGCCGTAACAGATGCCTCAGGCGAAGCAGCAGGCAGCGCGGGGACCTCGGGCGCAGTGCCTGCAGCAGGGGCCGCCACCAAGACAGGCACAGGCAGGTCAGGCACGGGTAGGTCTGGAACATCAGGCAGGTCTGGAACACTGGGCGTGGCGTCAGGCGGAGGAGGCGCAGCTACCTCGGGCGTGGCGACAGCAGACACCGCCAACTCGTGACCAGCAGGGGGCACCGGCGAGTCAGGTGGGACGGGCAAGACAGGTGGCGCTGGCAAGACAGGCAGAACAGGTGGGATGGGCAGGACAGGTGGCGCCAGCAAGACAGGCGGGTCAATAATTGCTGCCAGGGTTGGTGCTATCACAGCAGGCATTGCCCCTTTAAAAGTGATTTGGACTCGCGGGATGGCGTCTGAAACCGACCTGGCCCCTTTAAAATCCAGGCGTGCCTCCCGGAAAGGGTAGGCTGCTAGCGGTGGCAGCACAGTGGTCTTAGCACGGGCTTTGGGTACCTGGGGGGAGCGATGCGGCGGTGACGTCCTGGGCGAGCCCCGCTGGTATCCGGATCGGGAGCTCGTCTTCCCGAAATCCGGCGGAGAGAGCGGCGGTGGAGAGAGAGCATGCCCTCAGGAAGATCGCCGGTTCCTCCTCCTGTCTTTGCTCTCTTGTCTTTTTCTTTTTCTTCCGGCTTAGGCAGGTCGGTTGAGGCGGGGTGGCCTTGGAGTAAGCGAGTGGTTGGAGACGCCTCTCGGTTACCCTCTCGACCAGCTGCCGGAGGTTTTCGCGCACTTCCGCAAGGACGTGCGCGTCCGTGAGCGGTGCCATCTCCTGGAGGCTAGGTCCAGTGTTCCGGGGTCCTTCTGAACCTCCGGCTGGTGAAGCCAGTATAACACCTCTTGCAGCAGACTAAGGCACTGGTCCTCTGTCTGCCGCGGTATTTCTTGAGCGAGATCTGTCATTCTGTTGCGCTGCGTGTAGACAGGCGAGCGGGGAAGCAGGCGAGCAGAGCCGGTGATATGGGTAAGCGGGGTTTATTTGGCGCACAAGGGCAGACATCCACGAACAATTACCAACACTACAATGACAGATCTTGGGCATACTGACTGGGACGAGGACTAAATACACAAGACAGGCTGAATTCAACAAGCAACAGGTGAGTACAATCAGGAATTCACACGAGGTAACGAGCCGGGCGTGACATTTACAGGGTTTTTAATTCATGGCCTTTTACCTGACTCCATTTTATCTGTATTATTAGTGCCCATTTTAAAAGATAAAGCTGGCAAAATAAGTAGTAAAGATAACTATCGGCCTATAGCTCTAGCTAGTATTCTATCAAAGGTTCTGGAAAGAACTATCTTAAATAGAATGGAAAATTTTATCTTGACCACTGATAATCAGTTTGGTTTTTAATTAAAACATAGTACAGATATGTGTATTTTTGCTCAGAAAGAGATTTTGGATTTGTATAAGAGGCACAATTCTATTGTTTTTATGGGTTTTATTGATGCTTCAAAAGCCTTTGATCATGTAAATCACGAGAAGTTATTTTGTAAGTTACAATACAGTGGTGTTCCCAAGTCCTTAATTAGGATTCTGTCCATTTCGTATACTCAACAGTCTATGTATGATAAATGGGATAATTGTGTGTCCGTCCCTTTTAAGGTCTGTAATGAAGTTAGACAGAAGGCTTCCTTGTCTATTTTCTTTTCAATGTTTACATGGACGATTTGTCAAAACGCCTAAGTGATTGTGGAACAGGATGTGTAGTCAGTGGGACTATAATCAACCACTTGATGTATGCAGATGATTTAGTGATCTTTTGCCCATACAGTGCTGGCCTTCAACAGTTATTGAGGGTCTGTTCTTAGTATTGTAACAATTCGTGGGTTTTGCTGGGAGCTGCTCGATACTAGCTGCTTACTGCACTTCCCTAGGCTACTCAGCTAGCGGGGTGCTAGCAGCTAACGCCAAAACTTCTGTAATGGCTGGCGAGAGGGAGAGCACTCGCGTCCCATACACCGCACGACCCCGAGTGTCTCTGTGAGCTGGAGCAGTTGCATCCACAAACAGCAAGAGAC